TTCAACCAGACCTATATAGTTGCAGGCTGTGTCGTACCTCCATGTTTTAAACAGCATGTGGCTCTGCATCCTCCTCATAAGCATTCCATTTGTTTCACTGAAGCTTTGTTTACTCCTTGTAAATGTTTCTTGCTGATTCTGGCATTTTGCTAGATGGCAAATTCAGATCTTTCCAGGTGAAGGAGGGAATGCATTGTTTTTCATTTCCACAACAATAAGATTGAATTAAGTAAAAGCAAAGCATGGAAAAATGAAGAAATGAGACCTGTCAGGAGTAAAAGATCAGGTCGCTGAGTTCACCTGGGGTTTTATTACTTAGTACACTGATATGCAATACAGAAGTAAACTAATGGGCTGAACAGGTCATGTCATTCATGGAAGACATGGCACAACACATTGTGATTAAAGTCACAAGGATACTTGAACTACAGTAGAATATCTCATATAATTAACACTGTGTTCACACCCTGCTGCAGCCCTAGCATATGATGTGCAGCAGCTAAGCATCCAAACAATTTCACAAGCTCAAGTTGATCTGGCTCTAATTCTTTTATTCAGCCTCTTGCCTCGTTCACACACTGACTCCCAGGCATCCACATTGCTACACAGTCTGTTGTGAGAAAGCTGTTTCCTCATCTTTGCCTGAGGAGAATGAGCATCTTTGTTTACATCTCACCAAAAGTTATGGACCTAAGGTATCACACCTACTGCTTGGCACACAGGCATTTCTGCACATGAGGCTGAAGCAAACAATTGTAACTAGGCCTCAGAGTTTTCTTACTACAATGTGTTGTATTTAATTAAGTGACTAAAAATGTTTGACTAACATAACTTATTCAAAAATATTCATATACACCATTTTCTCCAATTTGCCTGTAATGATTTCAAATAGTGGCACACCAGATAAGTTTTATTGTTTGTACAGTATGTGTAATACAGTGCTGTCTTTGATGGTGGGAAAAGGCTTTACACTGGTGTTGTGCTTGCAGAATACCGATCATCTGATTTGCATTGCATCTCTTGCTGGCAATGAATCATGGGAGAGTTGGTTTCTGAGGACGCTGATAAGTTTCAGGGGGTTTTTTGACTCTGGTCAAATGTGGCATTTTATCCATCTGTGACCTTGTCAGCATGAGGCCAACACAGGCAGAATACTGTCACCTGGTGGCGAGTCTCTAATGTCACACTGAAAACCATCAGGTTTGTTCTTCAGTAAGGAGAACAAAGAGCAGCTGCACCTGTGAGGGTGAACATTATTAGCTAATTAAATACATTAACTAATTACCACAAGGAGATCTTTTAACTAATTAAAGGGCCACTCCACCAACTGTACACATGAATTACTCTCTACTCATCACAAGTGCTGCTTTAGCCTTTGAAAGTAGATGCCTACTGTCTCTAGTGATGTATATTGAAAGGTATTTTTGAGTTGCATTATGGGAAGTGTTGCATTTCTTCAGCTTTTTGAGTTTATTTATTTTATTTTAACTTTTTCAGCTTGCCTTAGTAGTGATAAATAGAGTTATTTCAGCCTCTGCTGTTTAAATTTTCACCATTCTGTTTAAATTTCCTTTCACCAGAGTACAGAATTAATACGAAGAAAATTTATCATCAGATTGGATTTAATTAATTAAATTAACACTTCATTAAACACTTGATACTGTAACTTATCAGAGAAATAATGAGATGTTTGTTGGATAGGAGCCAAGCAAGTGAGAATTTGCAGGGAATCCTATGGTTCACACCCATTTCTTCACTTTTACCTTTTTAGACCTCTTCATCAGGAATGTGTGAGCAGCTTCTTCTCTTGCTCACTGCAACTGTACACTGATTTTAGTGACGTCATGTATCTTCAGGTTTTTCTAACATTAGCAACAACTCACGTAAGTGTGGAAATACTGTAGGTCGTGACGGTGTGCACAGTAACAGGACCCTGGAACTGAAGCTGCTAAACAAAATTCAGTCATAATTCATTTTAACATTTACACCTATGATTTCTCTACTGTGACACATCAACTCTACTGTGACACATCAAAAATCCTATTAATTTGACACCTTTATTTGGCTATGATAAAGTCACATTATTATCACCATCATAGTACAGTATGTATTTCCAATACAACTGCAGTAGAGGAGTCAATGTGAATACTGATGTGACATTAAAATAAATATGGACTAAAAGCTCAATATTATTGTACATCATATTATTCAATGATGGTTGCAATATAATTATAGTATGAGTGATACTGTGCCTTACAAATATTGTTTGTTTATTTGCACTATGCTTCTGTTGACTTTGTTATCTGGTTTGTTTTGAATATTAACTGCCTAATTGTATAACTGAGGAAACTGTGAACTGCACAGTCCCCAGCCACAGGAACATTGTTAGCTGGTGGATGTGTGTTCTTCAGACTCAGAAAAGAACAACCTGCGGTTTGCTGGTGAGAAGCAGATTCAATTCAATAACAGGCATGCTTTACTAAAGTCTCGAGGGGTTTCTGATAATACGAACGGTGCTCAATATGTTATTGCAGTTGTGGATATGTATCTCTCTGCACAACAGATGATCACCTCTATTTCCTCATCGAGGCCACTGAGCTTTTCTCTGCCTTAGACCAGAACAAAAATCAATAATCGCCTTAGACATGTCACTAAAACTCACACACATACACATGAAGCTGTTTGGTTAAGGTGTTTTAGGGGCAGAAATACCACAAAGGCTTGTTGTCAGAGTACTGTTGTATTCCAGCTGTAGGGACACAAAGATAACAGCTGAGCCATGAAGCATAACTATGATTTAGTGCATTAAAGTAAAAATCCTTTTCTCTTCTATCTGTATTATCTTTACATTTGTTGATGCTTCAGTACACAGCTGTTCTGTTTGGCAGGTTTCTTATAAAAACACAGAAGCAGAAGGCCTCGTATCACACAACAAAACTTGTTGAGTCTACAGTCACATTAGCTGCTCTGTGAAAAGCTGTGCCCCGAGCTGAATGCCATCATCTGCGCCCTGTCACACTTAGAATGTCAGTGTTAATATGATGATGTTTAGAAGGTTGTACTTTAAATTTAATGGAAATCCCTAAATAGTTGTTGAGATATTACACTGTAAACATAAACCATGAACTTCCTGGCACTACAGTATTGTCCCCAGCCACTTCATCCCAGAGAAGCTGTCAGACCGGACAACACACCTGGCTGTGTCCTTAAAGACTCTGCAGAACAACTGAAGGATGTTTTTGCTGATATCTTCAACATCTCACTCAGCCCAGAAACTAAATCCATCCTGCATGAACGGCAAGCCCCCTGTGGCACTGACTCCAGTGATGAGGAAGTCAGTGCCACGGGCAGCCTGAAGCAGCTCATCGTGCAGGACATTAGGACCAACTTCCCAGCCACTCAGGGCCAGTTTGCATGCCAGGTTAACTGGACCATCAAGGATGCAATATCCACTTACATTTACCTCACTCTGACTCATCTGGAAAGCGAGGATCCTCTTCATCGATGCCAGCTCCGCATTCAATACCATCAGAATGATAAAACTAACTGAGAAGCTGAGGTCATTGGGTCTGGATACTAGTACTAAACCTCCTGTCTGAGAGACAGCAGTCAGTCAGGGTTGGCAGGTATGCATAAAAAACCAGCACAGTGAGCACAGGCATGCCTCGAGAGTGTGTTCGAAGCCCCCTGTGACTGTGCTGCCAGAACCAGCACTAACAGCATCATTAAGAAGGCAGACCTCCCTATCGCAGTCCTCAGCATCCTCTACTGGGGCACCGCTGAGAGTATCTTAACCAGCTGCATCACTTCATGGTTTGGGAACCGCAACGCTCAACTAGACAGCATAGTGAAGACAGCTGGGAAGATCATTGGTGCTCCTCTCCTTTCTGGACGTCTAAAAGCTGAGCTGCATTTGCAGGTCCTCCAGCATCGTAAGAGAAAGAGGCTGCTCGACTTCTTTGATCAGGCCGTCAGGACCGTGCATACATTTGACATTTGTGGCACAAAATATCATTGAAACATTTCTTCCACAGAAATCCACACGAGCTTGTCTTTTCTATCATATCGGAATGAAAATACATTGCTTAATTCCCCAAAAAGTTAAATAAAAAAAACAAAAAAAACTGGTATAGTGATTTTTGGCAGTGAGAATTTTGAAATGTAGCTGTAAAAGTATTCAACCCCATTTACTCACTCAGGCTGAACTGTTTCACGGGCGAAAACATTTCAGCACATTCATTATTCACACTTCATCCTCAGATTCAAGATTGCTTTGATTTCGTCTGTCTCTCAGAGAAGGGTTAGACCCAGAGCGGCTGCTCACCTTAACAGGCTTTTAGGGGTTTGTACGGCTGAGTCAACTGTCACTGATAAGTCAGATATTCTGCACTGAGTTCACTGCAAATCCTGCACACTAACATATCTCAGGTGCATAGTGAATGTAAAATCTGATTGTTGTCTGCAACATGAACTCTCTCAAGGTTGTTTCAGGTCATTTAGTGGCAATTTTAAGAATTAAACTACACACAGATGGAAGAATCACACATAAAATGTACAGTTTGCTCTGACATGATCAAATGTTGATGTTGTCAAGCACCAGACTTTATTCAGCATGTGTTCACATCCTGAACTCCTTTCTATTTATTTATGCATTTTCACCCTGCAGAGTTTTTACTTACATTTTTACCCATCCTTTTTTGTTTGATTGAAACATGTCATCTCTCATTTTATGCTTTAAGTAAAGCCTCCTGGCTTGCTTTTGTCTGTTAAATGTAACACTGCACAGTAAATAACATTTTCTGGCTTCATGAATAGCTTAAAATTGAAGCATAAATTAAAAGAAATGCTTATTTCCGTACAACAAAGTTTTTGTACAATTGTACAAAGTTTAATTCAGAATTCCCATTTTACATTCCCACTTTGCCACACACTACTTTTATATCATTTCATTAAATTCAATTTATGCTAATGTACAGTAACACTTCTTAACCTCAGCATCCTATGGGCCCCTCTTCCCCGATGTTATTGTGATAGAACTGCCAGTGGCCAAGGCTTCAACATCTCTAGCTCTAGGAATTCACAGGTACGGTTTATGGAATACTCTAAATTAAATTCACTTACACAGCCTACTGAGAGATCCCATACTGTATGTGGCTTCATTGTTTGAATTGTGGTACAGCCGGTGTTTTCATAAATTATAGATGGGTTCCAACAAAATATGTGTATTTTTGTTGAACTTCAAACAAAATATGATCTTGAATTCAAGTAATACCTTTTCCCCCAGAGCCATGAAAGTTGCCTGGATACAATTCTTAGTGCTATTGTAAGAATGACTTGGGAGTTTGTTGTGTTGTATGATGAAACACAAATGGCTACCAGATGAGTAGATCATCTTTTAATCCATGGAAAATGTACTGTTCACAATGGGTGGGAATTTCACTGAGGAATAACGGAGCTGGTGACTCTGGTGCCTTGCTACAGGACACTTCGGCAGCATGAGGAGAGGGCCAGGGTGGGGCTGATGATTGGGGCCTTGAAACGATGTCTTCCCACTATAGGTCACTCGCCTGCTGTTTCTAAATAAGATGCCACTCCTATGTTGAGAGGCTCTTTCTAATATGATATTTGAGATGGAAAATTAAAGCGCGCCGTGCCAGCTTGAAGACCACAAGTTCCTCTCATTTACCACATGTGGTTAAACGCATTCTAATCCTCCGTGGCAACGCTGCTGTTAGTTTGATGGAGGGCACGATTGGTCAACAGCAGCTGACCGCGCCCTCAACCCATATAAGCTACCTACCTAACTATTACCACCAAGTGTCGGGGGAACGACGGCGCTGCTGCTGCTCTCGGTGCGTCGGAGGTGAGAAAGCAATTGTCTGTACGGAGAAGCTCTGGGCTTCCCAGCCTGCCTCCCCCCATCAACACAGCAACATCTAAAGATAAGAAGACGATCCTTCCTGGAGACAGAGGTCGCATATTCATCTGCCGCATTCATATCTGCTCAGTTTTGGATTTTTCTCTGTCTTCTGTGCTTGCGCGTTGGCTGGCTGGAATACCTCGTTAAATCCATGTGTCGGATCGTTGGATGATGCCCAGGTAAATGACACGAGCACACCTCCTACACAGAAACGACCTAATGGACGGGGGTAATTAGCTTTAAGCAGCGCTGCGGTAGAAAGCCCCAAAGATAAGCTGCGCTCTATCTGTGTGCATGGCTTTTTCAATGTCAGCAGTCTGGGATCGTTTGCATTTCCAATTCGGGGATGTTGGAGTGTTGACGCTTCTCCCGAGATGTGTTTTGAAGAATTCACTTAATGTAGCCAGAGGTAATCAGATTTCAAGCCAGCCTCCTTTGTTTTCAGTGCTGACAGTCAGTTGAAGTGGGTGGAGGGGTGGAGGGAGAGGCTTCCAAATTCAACACGGTTGCGGATGAGGTCGCTTAATTGCGTGCCGGAAGATATGCCCTGTGGTTGGGCTACAGCACGTACAGTGGTGGCTTTTCCTTTGTATAAAGGCTGCATCCCCAGTACATCAGGTAGCTATTGTTTGATTTCACCAGATGCCACATGCTGGCTGGGTATTTCATACATGCATATATGTATGTAAGTGAAATTAAGGTGGTCCATGAGTCATGCAGCATTCAGGGTCTCTGAGATGCTTGAGGTAGCTTATTTATTATTGAGAGGGTTTTCATGTTCAGTGCCAAAGGACTGGCCAGTTTAAAGATAGGAAAGAGGGCAACAAAGGCAGCTTCACTCGTGGTTCCAATTTATCCTTAAAATCAGGAGAAAGTTGTGAGGCGGAAAGAAAAAGGCTTCTTACCTGTGTGATGAGATAATGTTTGCTAAAACCTATAGCTCAGTATCAAAGCTCCCATAGGAAGCTGCTGCCTCCATACAGCAGATTTTATGGCACCAGTTCAGGAGGGTTGACCACTGAGGAGGTGGTGTGGTTCAGATAAAAGCCTGGGGTCTGAAAAACCAATTGTTTTTGCAAAACGCACAAATGTCAGTCAACTCTCCACACTGATTTTCAGCACTACATAACATGAGTGAATGTATGTGAATGAACTGAAAAAGACTTGTTTAATGGTTGTCTATTGTTATTGGATTGCACACATTTCTGTAGTGTGGAATTTGAATTTTCTAATTTTGCTTTTTTAAAGAAAATATATTCTTTTGTTTGTCTTCAGTGTTGTTGACTAAATAAAGTGTAGGTGCCCATGGTATGATATAGCTCACAATAATTTTATTTATTTTTTTTATCAAAAAAGAAAGGAGGTGCTCACGATTTTGAGCTACACCCCTGCACATGTCGCATACATACTGCTTCCCTTCCTGCACCTCCTGTAAACCTATTTGCTTTGCAAATTCAGCCCCAACAGTAGCATGACACATTTTGTTGCTGGGTTCTCTGAGTAGCAAAAGTGAAATCCATGTGTTCACAGAATCGGCTCAGGTTCCCTGTTCACCTGAATTAAGTGTTCACCTTTGTTTGGCTAGTGTTGCATGCTGTCTTTTAGCACCCCCAACAAGTATTGTATCTCAGATTTGGGCATGCGTTCTCTCATTAACTCTTCCTGTTTGGCTGCACTCTTAAATCCAAGCTGGTTGAGCTTGCTTATTTAAGTGCTACTCCATTCTTTAGTAAGCAACTTCTTTTTAATGAGAGCCACGTTGACTTGGCTTGCAGATGTTCCAGACATTGACGGTGAACTTGTGCAATGCTGAGAAGGACTTTCTGTGCATATAGTGTTGTTAGGTGGTTATTTTTGGGCAGCAGTACAACGACAGGGTGTGTCACAGTCTTAGCTTTTTGTTTTTGTTGTTGTTACTGTCTTTTATTCCCCCCAAGTCATAATTCATTTATATGTGCAGCTCAGTACAATCGACATATTTATTTTTATTTCTTATCAGCTCTATTTTGACACAGGATATGAATGCCAAGATTTTACTCATCATTCAGTATTTTTGGTGGCTTCTGTGCCATCTTCGCCACACTTGTGTTGCTATGATCTGACTCACAAGACATCTGTCTCTACCAGTGCTTCCAATGAGATTTACGGCATTAGTAATTAAAAAAAGACAAAAAATGGTGTCACTACTGCTGCAACCACAACTAAAGTAAAGCTACTATTAATAATATGGATATTTGGATATCCTTTAATAGAGTAAAACCACATGGTCATGTTGCTTCACATTCAACTTTACACTGTATTTGAACTTCTTTAAGCTGCTATCTTTGAAAGGTACACTTGTATGACTGTACATTAGCATGGCAGCTGCTCAGTATGAAAAGAAAGTAATACTGGGAATTAGGATATCTTACACAAAGCACCAGACAATATATGAAGAGAGCTGGGTGACATGAAATAGGAGACTGCCTGAAATAACAACAGGGCAGAGTTGACATGGTTTGTGTCTATATGTGTCACACCTCAGTAGCTTCAGTGTGCATACTGGGGAAATGGAAGGTTATAGATATTGCGAATCATGTCGCTGCCTCTTTATCATACCCCATCAAGGTCATATCCACAGACTGAAAGTGGTGGCCCTGGCCTTTTCCTCTCCTGGCTCTTTCAGAGGAACGGGGGCCTGCGGACCACTGCTGCTTCTAATCAGGGCTGACGTGTGACTCAGTTGCATGCCAGCTGCGTAGCCAAACAGGAATTATGTCTCTGGATGGTGAAGACAAAAAAATAAAATAAAAAAGGTCACTGCTGTTGAGATCTGTGTCTCTACACCTTTGGCAAGTTTGGTTTATTTCAATAATTGTGCATTATTTCTAATAAACTTCGCTCAAATTGCTAAAATTACTGTAAATGCCTAAATAACTAAAATCCTGTAGAAAAGGCATACTGTATATGTAGCTAGAAGCTTTATGCTGGTACAACAGCAGGGTTTTGTTAGGCTACAATCTGGGTCATTGTGCCAGTTGTTTTTAAGATTAGCTAGAAGGTCGTTAAACCTGCCCGACCCATTCCCATTAGAGAATGCGTGGCGCATTTTGAAATGCAAATTACATCAATGACGAGCCAGGACTGTTGTGAGTTTTAGGACTTGTTTGCAGGAAGAATGGGACAAAATGACACCTGACACACTGAATCACTTGGTGTCCCCAGTCCCTAAATGCCTTTTAAGTGTTGTGAAAAGGAACGGCAACATCACACCGTGGTAAAGGCTTCACTGTCCCAACTGTTTTTGGAATGTGTTGCAGTGTGTGTTTATTTTGAATCAAGAATAAAGTTGATGGGGGTATCGCATCAAATAATGTGCTGCTGGATTGTTTTCAATGTAATACAGGACACAGATAATTTACAAATCACTATTTTCAGTTTTAATTTAGATTTTAGATACTGTTCCAACTTTTTCTGATTTGGGGGTTGTACTAACCAGACACAGACTCTGAAATATCTAGAGAAAAATCTGCATATACAGTGGGAACTGATTTGGAAAGCCTGATTGATATTGTTATGTATTTGTGAAATAATCATCAGTGAGAGTGCCAGTTATTTTCACCACAGGTGGTACAGTAGGTGGAATGGAATGCGAGATGGTCTATAATTAAGCAGAATGATACTCAGGATTCAGCAAATGTTGGTACATTGGCGCCTTTTATACTCTGAGACCCAGTGATGAATTTTTTTTTTTTTTAATATAAAGCTAATCTGTGATTCATCAAATATGTCCATGACATAAGTGCATCATATTTAAAACTTAGCTTTTTTTTGGGGGGGCAAATTTATTAATGGAAAAATATCACTCAACATAAAATATCCTATGTTGTTTTAGGGCAAGGACAGCTCAGGAAGCAGAAGGGGAACAGACATTTGACATCTGTTATGAAGATGGAAACTGGTTCACTTACATCAACTCACAAAGCAGTGTTGTTAAGCCTCATTTAGGTAGAGCAGAAACATTTTCTCTCAGCATGTATAGCAGACAGCTATATACAGTAACTGATGTCCTCGGTCTCCAGTCAGCCTCTGCTCTTGATTAAGAGGCCCTTACAGTATATACAAAAAAAGATAAAGACAAATGAAATAACATAACTTTTCATAATCACCAGAACGCAACATCAGTTCTAATCTAACTCAACTGAAATGGCATACAGAATAATGAATTCTTAGAGTGCAGATAAAAGCCCTAGAAGCTATAATTTACAACAGACTCTCACTTTTAAACTTAGGATATGCAACCCAGCGGTTACAGAAAGCAGGTTTGTTTTTCTGCTCCATTCAGGGGCATTTTGCACATTCAGTACTGTTGCATTACATTGCAAATGTGAGTATTTCAGTTCATCTATCGTTGTTATTGTGTGACAGCATGAGAAAAGGAAGCTGAAACTGCACAGTTAACTAAAATGTGTCCAGCCTGCATAATCAATGCCCTTGGAGATATAAAACACAATATCACCCTGTCAGTATGTATATTATGCAGTTACAGTGTTTCAAAGGTGGCAACGAAACAAAGCCCAAATCAACTACACAGCACTGATAGGGCAAATTTTGCATCTTACTGCATCACAGTGAATCTATGATTTTACATCAATGCAATGGTGTGATATAGGACTACATATTGTCTGGCATTTTGTTAATCATATAGTGTAGTAATACCACGATGTACATTATGTGTGCTTTCCTCATCCTGAAAGCTAAAAACTTTGCTAAATTACAAGTAAATTTCTCATTTACGTTGTTGTTGTTGTTAAATGGCCAAAATTGGGAAGCTTATTTGACTATGAAATAAAGTCACTCCTACAATATCATCACATTACTGTATATACATATAGTGCATGTCAAAAGTCTTCACCACCTTGGATGTTTTACCCCTTATATTAATTTTATAAATCAATCGTGGTCAATATAATTTGGCTTTTTTGACAAATTTACAAAAAAAAACCTCTTGAATGTCAAAGTGAAAACAGGTTTCTACAAAGTAAAGTCAATGAAATTAAAATATGTAATGTGTATGTATTTTGTTTAACAGTATAAAAGTATTCGATGAGGAGTACTGTGATATTTCAGCTCATCTTCATTCCCAGGGCATCAGATACTGATGATATGTCCACCTCTGGGGTCCACATGAGACTCACAG